AGCCTCATGAATACCAGAGACAGAACTTTCACTATACCTGGACTTAGTAGACTTCTAATTTCGATTCTAAGCTCTTTGGAGCAGGGATAGTCTTGTTTGTTCCAGGGATGCTGGAACCATTTGTATCATGGAGTTACTGAACCAAACTGAGAACCCACTTGATGGAAACCACTTCAAGGCAGGGGTTGATGCTGCATCCCTAGTTCTAGCACCTATGGGTTGTGGTGTGTTTCTACAACCCCTAGCACAATGGGGCCATGGGTCCATGACTGGGGTTCCTATGGGTTCTACCAAATTATAACTACACAGAAAAAAACTATGTTAATAGAACATGATGGCTGCAAAGTCAAACACTCAAGGCTCACTGTGGGCAAAGGGTGCTCCAGCAGCAGCCTCTATCTGCAAGGGTCCCAGTGGGGAGCTGGACCCCCCTGTGGACAGGGGAGGCTGCTGCTGGAGTAGCCAGCCTGGGCCACCATGGACTGGAGCTGTTGGACCTTGCACAAGCTAGGACTGAGCAGGCTCAGCTTGCGCTAGTCTGGGACCACTGCATCTCTGCATTTTAAATGTAGTAAGAGCCACCAAGCAGTTCCAGAGACAGCACGAGCTGGGACTGCTCAGTCCCAGCTTACGCCAGCCCTGGGAGCTACCCCAGCTGCAACTCTGCTGAGCAGCCCCCCCCCCCCTTATTGACTAATTGTGTAGTTGATACAAATTGTATTGACGGCATGACTAGCCAAATAGCCGCTCGTTAACATTCTTACTTAGGACTGCTGTAATATGGAAGACAAAGGTGGAAGCCTGCATCTTTTTTAAAAGGCATAACCCGTGCTACTGTTCAGTGTGGTCTCCTACGCTCTCAGGAGGGATTATATGCAAGCCACTGTGTCAGAATACTCCTCTGTAGTCACATTTTACACTGTCTTGTAATAATCTTTGTACAAAGTTTCTCTATATGGGAGAAAGTGAAAAAACGTATAATTTGCTAGTCAGTATTGTTCACATACATATTGCCACACAAGTTATAAGATTTCCCTCTAGAATTTTATGAATACATGTTACCACCCCACAGCCCTGCCGAAACAGAAATTGGCAAACGGGTCTTTCAAAGGAATGAGCACTCAGTTTAAATTGCTTTTAAGCAGTAAACAGAGTCATCAAGCAGGGAGGTAAACAAAGTTCAAATAGGTGACAAAATGCCAGCAGGAACATCCTTCCACATGGACTCTTTCTCCTAGTGCCCAGCTGGTATTGTTTTTTCAAGAGGGGAATTAAAGCTATAGATAAAGGCACCACTTGCTTCCCCAACTCACAACACCTAATGAGACAAAGGAAGCATTTGTTGGACTCTGGGAGAGAGGGCCTGATGCGAGAGTTTGGTAAGTATGCTGCTGAAACTTGTGTCAAGAAACTTTGCTTGAATCCACTATACTTTGTTAAGTTAAGGATTAGTAAAAGTTATATCTTTAATTTTCCTGTAACCATTTCTGATCTGCATGCTTCACTTTGTACTCCCTTAAAATCCCTCTCTTTGTAGTTAATAAACATGCGTTGCTCTTTTATCTAATCCAATGTGTTCAAATGGAAATGTCTGAATAACTATTTGAGACAATAACAGCATATTAAAAGAATAGTGGACTTAACATATTTGTATTGTCTAGGTCAAGGGTGGGAAACGTAAGGCCCAGGGGCTGAATGTGGTGCCCGACTTGCCTGGATCCAGCCTCCCAGGCTCAGGGCTTTCCCCAACAGTATTGGGGAGCTGGAGAAATTTTTTTTTACGCTTTAATGACAAAGAACCCTGAATGACAACTTTGGTCAATCAGTAATCAGAGTACACACACAAAAACAGTTCAATTGTTAAAGTCTATGTTTTCTCATTAGTTCAAGCACATAAGAAGTCTGTTTTCCAAGCCAATCTGGATGAAGCCAGCAGCACAATAATAGAAGAGTAAGCAACCGTTACTCTATAATGCCAATATCCAGCACATAAAATGACTTTCTATTATGCCAGTATCAAAACTGATTCACATATGAAACAATCCTCAAAAATTTGCTATGACATTTTAGCACAGATTTCTTAGCTTATATAACAAAGACAACAAGGACAAGGTTTGCAACATGGTCTGCTTTTTATGGTGCATAAACAGAGTTAATGGTTGGTACATTTATGTTTCAAACCATGCCCACTGAAACATTTGGAAACTGATGATTGATGGAATCAGAGCTACTTTGTAATAATACATGAAAGCTCGGTGTTGACATGGTTACTTAGAACATTACCTGAATAATTTTTTTTTAATAGGGGCCTGCGCGAAAAATAACCGGGATGAAAACAGAATGGCTAAAGATAGGCCATTTTTCTATAAGGCTTGAGGCTTGGCGGTACCGTTGAGAGTACTGTATTCTAGGAGTGGGAGATTTGTAGAATTCTGTCCCAGGATAGGTAAAAAGCACAGAATCTAACACTTGAAGGGGGGCATTCAGAAAGATCAAAAAGGGAACATAAAAGTTGATAATATAAATTTGATAGTGTTTTATTGTGCCTAGAAAATAAGCAGATAAACAAGTACAATGATAATGGTAACTGAGCTGAGCAGTAAGAAAAGAATATCCTGAATAACATAAGATAATTTAATCAAATCTATTAACGAATAGGCACTCTATGCTCATATTGTCTTTATATACATATAAAAAAAAGTTTTTCCTGTGGGACAACAGAGTGACTTCATCATGCCACTCTGCATCCCGCAGACTCCACCCTCCCATGGCCTCCCTGCCCCAGTTACTGTGCGAGGATAGGCAAAGCCGCCTGGCAGCCGTGCCTGGGCAGATTATGCCTCCCGAAAGTCTGTGGCCACAGCTGAGTGGACAGGACCTTTCAGAGGTGGAATCTGCCCAAGTCAGGCTGCCAGGCGGCTTTGCCGGGCCTGAACTGTGT